ATGCCATCCTTGCGTATCTCAAAAGCCCCCCATCCGTAGGGATTGGGATAGGCAAGGATAGGCTTTCCTTGGTGTCTCCTATAGTCCTAATGTGGACTAGACTCTCATTCAAAGGCTTTCAAGAGAACCGGTCTACCTGTGGAAATCTGGAGGACATGTAAGTCCTCTAAGTCAGCTGCGACCCAGAACACGCGTCAGCAACCCACAAAACCTGCTTGCTCAGAGGACAACTTGACATAGTCACTAGTGGATCCCAAACAGCTAGTACCTAGTGTTACTAATCTATAGCCACTGGCAACCTGGCTAGGGACGAGTCACATGATGTCACATGAATTGACCACCCAAATTTCAACAAGCCTCAAAAACCATCCACCCAGTGCCACCCAGCCTTCATTTGGGCCTGTGTTTTGAGGGTTTTGGTTTCGGATGAGTCCATCTGAAAACAGACCACGCCGCGGCCAAGGGGTGGTCAAAGTAGCTGAATGTCTTGGAAGCCCACTGGCCGGTGATGGCTGCTTGCACTTCAGGTACACCGCCCGACTTCAGCACGGAGTTCCAGCATCCTCGTGAAAACGGTGTGTTCTTTCTTTCAACAAAACACGAAAACACAAAATGAACGAACTCCGACCAAAGCAAAGAACAAACTCTTTGGTGACATCTTTTCCTTTGGCGAGCCACATGAGCTTCCTTTGGTGAAAAAACTCCGACCTCAAACGAGTCACCAAAGGAACACATCATGTGACCTCGTCAGGCAGGGAGGGTTTCCCTGCGCACGAAGTGGGTGGAACTGCTGGGATCCTCAAGGCGGCCAGGGCCCCCAAACAGCGACTGCCCCGTAGGCAGAAGAGTGTATATATCTAAGGACTCCTCTGCCGGGTGGGACATGCGAAGTGGGTCCCGAATTGTGTGGAGCACTTTTTTCCACTTCCACTGGACAAACCCAACATGTCCGAAATCACCTCACCGAATTGATCTGCGTGTTGAGGTTCAACACTAGCAAGGAGGCATCCAGGTTGCTTGAACATCTAAAACCTCGCTTCCCCAGCAATATCTGGAATTTGAGGCTTGGTTCAATAGATGTCATGCTAAGCTGGCTTGAGGCACCCCTGTTAGCCAAATCCTTGGTGCCTTGAATGACATATATGTATAATAGGTGCCTCAGGGTCCCCAAAAGGTTCATGAGACCAAAGACTGATCCCAACCTGCCCGGTGAAGCGCCCAGGTCCTGGCTTGTAATTGGCCTTGCTGGATGGAATCGTTGGATGTGCCCACCAGGTGGCAGTTCGCAAAGGTGTTTGCAGCATGGAGCTCACCATGTGCCAGGGCGACACAGAGAGTCCTCACCGCGGCATGCGGCACGAGGCAGGCCGTGCGGGGGGGGGAAGCCACCACCAAAGGAGGTTAGAGGTTCATCAAATCTCAAGGGCACCCCTGTGTGCCTTTCGGGTTGAACAGGATATTTTGAGGCTTGGTGAAATTAGAGTTACAGTATTTGTGGGATAGCAAAGCCTTTGCCATTACAGTTAGTGATGCTCCTATTTTTTTCTACTCAAAAAGGTCTCCACTAGCTGGCCCCGGTAAAAAACAAATTCAACATCGAAATCCCAGAAACCTGTCAAGAAAGATTGTATAATATAAACATCATTATAAAACATATTCATATACAACCTGGACTGAAATCAGCAGGACACTTGAGTTTTTTGGGGGAGAGCAGCCGCCTGGATTGTTCAACCCAGCTGGTTTTGACCAACACCCGTTGTTGCGCCCCCAAATCCGCCACGCCCGTTTCTTTCATCGTCTACCAGCTGCTCCTGATGGCTTGGCCAAGAGTTGCACTGGGCTTTTGCTGGTCCTGCGACGAGGCTAGAGAGGCCGTGGAAGTTGAACTGATGGATTGCTCCAAACGGATGGATTGCGAGTGAACTGGTGAATTCGAACTGATCGATTGCCATCCAACCGCATCCGACCGCGGGGCCTCACGCTCATGGTGTGGGTCAAAGGCTGCACAATGTCCTCCCAGGCGGATGCGAATCGGACCAAGGAGCATGATGGGAGTACTGAATAGTGATGTGACGTGCTATTCCCAGTGGATCGTAGGCCAAATTGAGAACTAACTGTGGGAGATGGGACGAGTAGCAGGTTCCGTGGCTGAAGAAACAAAGACCTATAAGGAAAGGTAGCAAATGTTGCCTAGAAGGACATGTCGTCCCAAGAATCCCAAGATGTAACAGTCACTCCATTGAGACAGGTTGTTTTTTGATCTGCCAAATCCGGGCTCGAGACGCACACATGGACAGGGCACGTGGGCTCGGCAGGCTGACCTAATAATTAGGACCGGTAACTTGGGGTACCTGGATGGGGTACCTATTAGGTATACCTATATTTAGTCTACAGGGTTCTTCAACCTCTGTTGTTGGACTAAACCAAGAACCGTTGAAGAACAGGTTCTATTTTGATGACTGGATCTCAACCAAACCTCAAAACAGCAGCGTCTCCCAGCTTCTGTTTAGATGGAAGCTGTTGTCTGAGTTCCTGACTACTGTGACGTGAAATACCAACAAAAAGAATGCACCCCATTCCCACAGTCCCACCTTCTAACAAATTATGCTTCTTCTGACAGACCAACGTCTGTTCACAATTAAACAAACACCACTTGCAGGTTCCGATCCTTCATCCTTCCGATTGTTCAGACCGAACGAACCGGTAGCCACGGTCCTTCACCTGATGCCCGAGCTGCTTCGCCGCGTCCAGCAGTTCGCTGGGGCCACTGGTCAACTTGGCCACCTGCGAGCCACTCAGGGTCGATGAAACATCGGCACGTGCGTGTTGAGATGAAGGGGTGAGCGGCGCACAAAAAGACGCGTCAAAGGATCCTAACTCGGAATGCCATTTGACACCCAAATCATCCCAAATGGGGAGTTGAGTTACTGCATGTGATACAAAAAATGCACGGACCAGTTTCATGCAGTGCTCTTCAGTTCCAAGATCTGCGGAAAAAATCGACCGCCTGTGGGTTGTTGGGATCGGTCGCGACCGAGGCCCGCTGCATGGATTGCAGGACCGCCAAGGTGTCCTGGTCGCGCGGTCCGAGCCATATGTTGAGAGATCAGTCCCAAAACCTCCATTTAAAAGTACATTTTGACCATCTCATTCGGACTGTAATGGAGGGTTTGATTGTACATTTAACCCTCGCTGTACGGAGTATGAACGTTTTATCTGTACATGTTGACCGTCATATATATATATATAACACACATAAATGCAAATAAACAAAACAAACACACAATAAAAGTAAAACAAAAAAAGACTGCACAATATCACATCATGTATAGATATGCCATATGTGAAACCCTGTGTAGGTACATATGCAAGTCTGATGGAGAGTTTGGGATTGAGTCATCTGGGTTCCATCGTCTGGAAAAATCCACGACTATGAGGGGATGTCCAAAGGCTCAAAGGCAGTGGTCTGGAGAATCTTATTTGAAGCATTGTCTGGTTCCATCATAGTATATATATAACTACTCATATTACCTTTCTCCAGCTAACAGCTAACAACTAAGTGGGTCTTGTCTCGTCTTGTACACGTGTTCGTCGGCTTTGCCACCTAAATAGTTTGGGCAACCAGTCTCAGATCTCCTCCTTGGTCGCCAAGTGCAACGCAAAGAAGTGCTGAGCCACCTGGCGGATTCTGGAATGATCCGTGGCAAGTTGTCAACAGACTGGCCATCGCCTCACCCAGCATCAGCAGCTGCATCCCTGTTCATTGAAGAAAGACATGCACAACAAGACAACAAGTGATGGCTCTCTGCGATGGGCGAGAATTCTGGATGCTTGCAGCCGAGGGGAGTTGAGCAAATGAGGCGACCCATCAGGTGGTCAATACTAGACCCGACGAGGGTACCAAAGGACATGTCGCCTTCACGTCTTTCCACGTCCCAACTCGTGGAGGTCCCGCATGGCCGGCAGGGGCCATGTGGAACCAGCTTTTCTCTATTCAGGCAAGTCGTCCAGCTAAATAACCAAGAGGGATCTAGGTGCAAACACAACCATATCATAATTAATGCATGATATATAATATATGTATATACAGTATATATATATCTATTTATTGTATATATATATAATAGCAATGTGGCGCCCACAAAAGAACCCACAAATGATCATAGATCACAGTAATCAAACATCAAACTGGATTCTCCCGGATGAAGAGAACCTGCTTTGCCAACTTCAACGATCTGGCGCTTCCTCGCTCCAACAGGCTTTCCTCGCGGTGCTTTTTTCTCGACCTGCCTTGGTGTTGTCATCGTTGTAGCAGCAGCCCAGGGTGTTTCCATTGATGGTCCGCGGATGTGCCTTGCTGCCTCTATGGTTTCGGCGCCAGCTGGAGCCGAGCTTCGGCTGGAGCCCAGCTGTTTCATGGAGATCCGATCCAGCTTTCGAGTTTGGGGATGAATCAACACAGCCTTCCAACAAAATGGGGTTGCACAACCTCTTCATATGGGGCGGTTGAAATATACTATTCTAGAGGTTTTGTGATCTTATAGGACCCATAACCTGGGGCCTACATGACCAAGATCTCAAACATCTCAGGGACCAATCCCAATATAGAAGTCTTCCAAGTCAACCTGGAGAGGAACCTGAGCAAGTCGTGGCACTTCTCACCAGACTCACTGCTTGCTGGAATGGTCTACCAAAAAATTGGACCAGAACAATGTATTCACGCTAATCCGGTCAGAGCAGGCTTAAAATCCAATCACATTAATGGTTTCAAGATCTTTCATCCACCATGATTTTTGCTGTTTTAATTATGTGTATTGTTTCAATCAAATCAATTGTGGTGTCTTTTGATAGATATTTTTGCACCCCAGCCACGGCCCCATATTGCCACCGCATGCTACAAGTATCAAGCGCCCTCCCGATCCCCAAATGAATCCCCGCCGCGTTCTGAAATGCACCCGGCCGCACCGTTGTACAGTCTCCTCGCCCTCATCGGCTCCCGCCTGCGCCCGGCCAATCCGGGGTGGTCACCTGCAAGACGAAGCCAGTGCCGTCATCGCCCCAGGCCAGGACTCCTCCGGACGGTCCGAAGCCGGGGCGAGACGGTGCTGGTGTTGCGGTGGTGTTCACTTGTTCCGGTGATGGTTTTGGTGGAGAATTGTTCCGCTGGTTAGATGATAGCGAGCAAAGGAAAGTAGTGGTGTGTAGAGGAAAACCATTCAGTCGGACTCAGGGTGCAAAGACCGACCACCTTCGACGTTTCGGGAGTGTACTCCAAGACGACAGATGGGACTGGAATTGACCGAAAAATGGAAGGCTGAATCCGATTCGAAGAACTCGAAACAACAAACAGGAAACCAAACATGTGATCCATGACGTGTGGTTTTCTGCTAATCCTTTCCTCAAAAGCATCATCGGCGATCCGATCGGGGATGTACCTGAATCCATGAAGTGCAAATTCCTGTTGCTAAGACTGTGAAAAAAACGGTATTCAGAGGTGTTTGATGGTGTTCCCCAAAGTGCTAGCCACCTAAAGGGATATTATGTTTATTGGGCGAGATCTGTATACAACGGGTCACCGGCTTTGTACGCGGTTCGAAGCAGGGTCCAATGTGTCCTAGAGCGGTCCAGCAAAATGATGCCAACAGGCTGCCGTCATCCCTTGAACATATTCTTGGACACTTATCTCAAACACTTCATGGATTCATGAAATCCATTGATGATGTTTACCTACATTGATCCCTGAGACCACCCCAATACACAAAATGTTCATACCATGGTCGTCAAACGCTGCAAGGTCAGTTGATGTCTGCTGCATTCGTGGCTTCTGAAGTGGCTGCTCAATTGTGTCCACATCATTCTCCCCTATTTGCGGATGTGTTCCTCCTCCACCATCTCATCAGGAACAAAGCTCTAGCACTGCCAGCTGCTCACTTGGCAGGGGTCTCAAACAATCTTAAACACATGTCATCGGCCGATTCTTTTGAACAGAATTGGTTGAAACAGAAAATCCTGAAAGAACCACTTCAGGTCCCCAATTGATCTTCCATGTTCATGTTGGAAGGGAACTGATCCTCACGAAACTAGACAACAGTTGCTCCAAACAAAGTAAGAACTTTTGTATTTGAGGCTCAGAAACGAATAGATACAGCAAGAAACATGCTATTAAAATCTATTAAACGGGGTCAATACCGAAGGTGTACGAGTGATAGGAAATCTAGGACATGTACACTGAACCGTCGATGTTCTACAAGGTGGTCGTTTCCAGGATTGCCGAACAAAACAAAACAAACCGCCCCAAAACCAGGAAACTCATGGATGTGCAGCTCAAATATAGGGAGACCTCCCAAATCAACCCCAAGGAGGAAGAAGAGAAATCGACCAGTCTACCCATATTGGGCCCGGGGAGGTCTCCCGAAATCCAAATCCACATGTCCAGCTTCCTCTTTCGTCCCACAACTCGACCCGTCCTTTGCTGTGGCCCCAGGGGGCTTCGCACTCCCTGGTGCACTTGGGTTTCGTGTTCAGCACCGGGTCCTCAGTCGAAACGAAGCATTGCGGCCAGCGGCGAGGTCGAATCCAGTGGAGTGCTAAGGAAGACCCTGGAAGTCCAAGAGCATGCTTAATCATGGTTGATCTGGATTTTGTAGTGTAAGATCCTTGCGACAATCAATGGCGGTTCGGCAGTGGTTCGGGAACCAGTTCGGTTAAAACAAAAACTAGATTACATATTATATAATTACTGGTGGTAGGAATCCTAGGGCCGAGGATTCTTCGGCCCAAGTCAAACGTTCCCTCGTTTTTCCAGATGGTCCATCCAGCAAATTGAAAGAACGCAAATTGTTGGAAAAGCCTTGGTGAGGCTGGCCGGATGACCAGGTCAGACCTTCATTTTCCGGGGATCTCAACGTTCGGGGCACCCCAAAGCTGAGGTTATCCACAATATGGATTAATTAAATATGGCCACTGAGATCTTATAAAAGAGTAACATGTAATTATATTATTACTATCTCTATATATATATATTACAGTACCCTTTCATACCCTTTCTGTTAATTAGGTGTTGCTTTGTGACCAAGCTTCCCATGCAACTTCCAAAAAGACTCACTTCCAAAGCCCCGCCAAGGCTCGCCATAGAACTGGTCGTTCCACACCACGAAATTGGGCGCCTGTCCAGAGTACACCTGCGCGTTGACATAACACATGAGTGTTGGTGTGGTCAATACCAGGAGACCCTGAGGGTACGAAATCATTGGTCTTCACTTTATTAAAACCCTCTTGATTGTCACCACTCTCTACGTCTACGTCTGTCAAAACTATTGGGTCAGGAAGAAGACATGAGTGTGCCAGCTTATGGATTTCTGAAGGGGACCTGGAGCTTGTTCGGGCCAGAGCCGCATGCTAAAATAACAAGACAGCTGAACATGCTAAAAATAAACAAAAAACATGCATTAAAAATGCATTGGCATGGTTATGACTTTGAGGGGCTTCGACCCAGGTTTCAGCCACTCACACCTCTCACGACCGCTCCCTTTCGTGACCTGGTTTCGGTTGCTCACATCACAAGTGATCCGGCAAGCGGTTTCGCGGTGGTGAAAAGGAAGCACCAGCTGGGTACGCGAAATTCAGCTCAGAATGCGTGGGATTTCTTATCACAGATTCTCTGCTCTCACATTCTTGTAACTCAAGGGCTGGTTCATCTGTCATTCCAAGCCCATTTCATTGCAGAAGCTGTTTCCGCAGGCGTCGCCTGGTTGAAGGTCTTGGCCAAAGGATCATCCGCATTTCCCAAACAATCCTCAGTGCTGCCACAGATCTAAGAATGATCAACGCAACTAGAACATCGACCACATCGACCATCCAAAACCAGCCAAAAATAGATCTTTGAGGGACTTGAAGCAGCCAAGGTGAAGGTGCGACTTGGGCTGGCCCATGGACTGACAGACTTTTTTGAGGTCGTTATTTGGAGAAACATCGACGAGCTTTCACTCGCCATCTCCACGCTGGAAGGGAGGAAGTCCGCCCATCCGATCAACCAGCTTCCTTCCCCTTCGGGAATTCCGCCCCAGACATTGGGATATTGTGCCATGTTTTGCCCACTGATTTGTCAAGAAAACGCCACCATGCTGGTTGATATTGATAAGGTTCCTGATGTTTGGGCTAACTAACTCCTGAAACAACATATTCCTACTTCGCGGAGTTAAGAACAGAGTACAAAAAGTCAATCTCACGACCAATCCCTAGAGGCCCTAGACCTGTAGATGTGTCCCCATGTTTGGTGTAGATGTGTTCCACATTTCTGTCTCATCTATCCATGATGATATCGTGGGGACTCCACAAAAGAGGGCTGAAAACATGATGAGAAGGGGATGAACACAGACAGGATGAGGCAACCACTTGACATGACGATGCAAAACAAACACATGGTTTCCATCCGTTTTGGTTTCCCCCCAGACGCGTGTCAATCCAATCCAATGACATCCAATGACCGATGGAATTTTGGCGCTCAACACCCATCGATTGGCTTTAAAATGCTGAGAAAGCATCCGTGTGCAGCTGCATGGCGTTGGTCTTCCCCTTCGAGCCATAGGACAAGACGTATTGCAAGCCGTACCTCGGTGTCACAACTTCTCCCAAGAAGGATTGGTGAGTGTTGAAGGCCCTGAAAGGAGTCTCGAAGTATATCAAGGTGACCAGGTGACCTCAACAAAATCCTTGAAACCAGATCGGGTATGCCTATCTTCCTATCTTCCTGTATGTCCGATCTCCGGTCCCTCCTCACGCCAGGTCCCGGGTTGGTTGCAGGTTCCACCTTTCGGCCAGTGGGATCGGTCGGGGCCTGGGAGGCCGGACCAGATCCTCAGGTTCGGTGGTATTCGACCTTCCCGGGCCCCTGGCCCAACCACCTTCGAAACGGAGGTGGCTGGAGCCCTAGGGATCTATAACAACTTCCGACTTCTCCCCCGACCTGAGGAGGTGTTACAATCCATGTAGGGATACGAGGAGGTCTTCGTCAAGATGTTACATTGAACAAGGGCGTTTGAACACGAACTGGCCCAGGGTGGCTGATTTGGCACTTCCCTCAGTTTACAGGAGACACACACTGCAACACCTCGATCATGTAGGCTGGATAGTCGGATAGTGCGTTATTTGGCCCCTGCCATAATAAGGCAGCAACATCTTTCCCTATACACCGCAGGTGCGTAGCAGCACACAATACATATCTGGTCTGGTGCATTTAAACTTCTGAGCCGGCCACTGGCAGGTCCAGTTTGAACGAGGGTGTATTTATGCGAAGCAATGCACACAAGTATCATTGAATCATGAGTTGTGAGCACCCCAATGATTTGTGTTGCGGGTTCGGATACTTGTTGGAGGCGGAGCGTTGGGGAGTCTGTTGAAAGCTCTCATGAAAAATCCACAAAGGCCCTGACCTAGATGCTTGTGACACAACATCCAAGGCCTATGATTACTGAGAAGGCCTTGTCCTCTTCTGCAGGACCGAAACTGAGATCGGAGGAATTCTGCACCCCACCATCCCCCAGCCATCGGTCTTGCCAAGAGTCTTGCCATCGGTCTGTTCCTTTCCTCGCGCAGGTCGAACAAACAGACCCAAAACGCGACCAACCATGACCTGTGAGATGCAAAGGATGAGTGGATGAAACCTTAAAGTTTATACCCTGAAGGGTACTGGATATGCCGTGCCTGATTCCCAATACTCCCTACCACACCCTTCCAATTCAGCACAACTCCTAGTACTCCGATTCCGATGTCCGTCCTCCGAAGGCGCACGTGGGCTTGGCGCTGCAGGTGGGAAAGGCTGAGGTGGTCAGCTTAAAGGCGAACCACCAATCCACTGCCGAGCCATCGCCCAGCCTCGATCGGTTTCGGCAGCCTTCGGCCGTGCCTTCCTTTTTCGACCGGTCGCCCCGGGGCATCTGGGGTGCTTGGAAACCAAAACACCGGGAGGATCGGGATAAATCGAGTCTGTTTGCAAGCCCAAATGAAGTGATGATTGAGCTTGCAGCATCTTGGAGCAGGGTATTCCAAGCGTCATGTCGAGAGTAAGCCAACCCAATTTGGGCCCCAGTTGGATCAGTCCAGATCTACCAGCGCAGTCCAAGTTGATCCATAAGAAGGGTGTCCCGTTTTTCCACCGTGCCAGCTCAAGACCTGGGAGCTTGAACATGTTTCCAACGTGCCGAATAGTTTTTGTTGTGTCTTTCTTTCTGTAAGTTGACTGCAAGAATGAACCTGAAGGGAAGTTGATCTGATGGTCGAAGGGTGAGATCTCAAAAAATACAAATTCGGGACATGAGAAGGTACATGGTCGTGTTTGATGCTTTCAGCCAGCGACTTTCAATCCCCGAAAGCCTGTTTTGCTCCAGCGCGACATCGAACCCCTGCACTTGCCCTGGGTGTTGCTTTGCCCTCCACTGGGCCCAACCCGGCTCCGGCTGCAGCACCAGGGCACAATGGTGCCAATCCGGCTGCGCCCAAGCGCCGCGCACCGCCATCGGTGACGTCCGGCAGTGGCGAGGAAGCGGTCGTGGAGAAAAGGGCCAGGGAGGCAGCGACAAAGCCGAAGAGGCACGTTTTCACCTGTGCAGTTGGTTAGTGAACGTAGTTCCTGATAAGTGTCAAGAACCCCCGTTCTGGTTCTATATCTTGTGGTTTTCTTGCTGAGGTGTTTAGGATTCCATAGCTGTTGCACCACAAAGGTCTTGGTTTGGGCCGGTGGCGAAATCCTCAGTGTCCGGGGTTTGGCAAAGCGAGGTTGGTCTATTTGATCACTAGCCTCGTCATGAAACCCTCTACCAGAAGGGGCCGGCCCGGAATCACCCACACTCACACTATATACTGACCCACCTGCAACAAACCTGGACATTGGAACTGATATCAAATGATGGACCAAGTATGAACATGGCCTTAAGGAAACCATTCTCCTCTACAAACAGGAGCTTCACTCACACCAAAACATCTTGCCCAAACAAACGCTGCATCCACATGATTCATTTACACGTAAAAAAGACCTCTTCGTCTTCCACCCAGTCAGTGATCAATCTTCCAGTCACTTGGAGTGGGAACCTTCAGGGTCTGCGAAACAGGCCTTAGAAGTAATTAGGAGATCACCTTTCTCCAAATTGGTTCAAGTTTGGGAAGGCTACAGCTTCAAAGCAATCCGACAATCAATGTCTAAGGTTAACCTCTGACCGAGCGAACAGTCGTCGATCACCATTGAAGTGATCTAGCAGATCAGTTGGCTGCTGTCGGGGTGCCAAAAGGGCCTTGGAGACCCAGCCATTGCGAGCCTGGGTGGACCAAAGCGGCGCTTTTAGGGCACAACCATTCGTAGGGAAGGTGGGAAGTGACTTCTGGCATGGCAATTACCATCTGCCAGACCATCTGCAAAACCATGCAGAACATGGACCTGGCTCTTCAGTACGTGACCTTTTGTGTCCCCTGGTTTTTTCAGGTCACCAGGCCTGGAAGAGATCACTCGGGGGACGGTCACTTAGGTCACTTAGTGAAGAAGCTGGTATAAAGACATGGTGTGAAATCCGTGGTTTTCTTTCTTTGTGCAGCCACTTAGTTGTCCAGGAAGCGATTACTGACAGGTCATTGACTGTCTGCTGATCTTTCACAGGGATCGAAAGGACTTCTGCCGAGGATCTCCGGCACTGGCCTCTTTGGCATCCATGGCGTCACGTCTCGTTCTGCAACGGGTGCGCGTCCACCGATGGGAACTGCACGTGTTCGCTTCATGAGATGGAAGGTGCGGCGGATGAGCATGGTGCGGCATGGTGCGGCCATTCGGCTAGTAGCCCTCAACTGCTTTTGGAAGTTTCACGAGGTTTCAACATGTTTCAATTAGAAGGCATTTGTCTGGCTCAACACAGGAGTGGTGAGCCACCTGTGAGTTTGATGCTCAGAAGGACCGCCTGTTGATGCTCGGAAGGACTCTCCAAGACTTCCAAGACGGGCGAGGTGCCCTTCAAGTGAGGTGCCCTTCATTCCCGGGAAGAATCATTCAATCATGGACGAACCATGGAGTCCACCCACCTGTTTCAAGAGGACCATGGAGTTCACTCCGTTTGTTCCGACGAGTTCCTAACGAGTTTCGCCTGGCCTTCGAGGTTGCCCTGGAAACTCTCCAGATCCAAGATGTCCTTGGAAGAAAAAAGAAAAACACATGATGAAGGAAGACCTGGTCTTCCAAGGAACATGTCTTCCAACACAGATGTCTCTCCCTTCATCTTGGAAGACCATGCATGGAGATCAAGATAAATCCTCTCATGCTCCAATCTGCTCTCATCATCAAACGCGCATCCGCGCGGGGGAGCGTCCGAGATCGCTGGCAGGTTTGGATGTTGAAGAAGTAGAGGACACCGTCTGTCAAAAGAGCATGGTGCGAGTTTCCCCCATTCCTGGTAAATGAACTGAACTGCATGGTGCCTGGTTAAAAGAAATAAACTAAGGTTTTTGCAGGGACATGAACAAAGAAACATAAGAAAACTGATTCCCAAGAGTGGCTCCAAAGTTGGCTGATGACTCACATATACTAAAAATATGCCTTTCCCATAGTGGATATACTGCCCTCTGGATATATTCTCTCTTACCATTCCAGTTCCGTTTCTAGGGTTGGATTGGGACAGTGGCTCACTATGTGGCCCTCACTGGAAGGTTAGGCTTTCTTGTTCAACTTTGCTCTTAGAATTCACAACTTGTTGGATTTCCTATAAGTTTCATTGAGGTTCCATGTGTTTTAATGCCACCGCAACCTGCCCCAGAACACCTTCTGCTTAGATGGTCCCCAGGCGGCAGCTCAACACCCACTACAGTGTATCACTACAGTAACCTGTTGGTACGGTGGCTACAGTCCACTAGTAGAGGGTCCTTGACCACTTGACGAACTCCCTGGCAAATGTCAACGTTGTTCAGTTGAAGAGGTACAACTCGGTGAACACCTACATCTCAAAAGTTCTCCACTGGGGAAACCTTCCACCACCGGGAAACCACCCTCCCCCACGGGAAACCGTCCGCCGCACTCCCGAGCATCCAAGACCTCTAAGACGCTGGACCTCGATGTTACAGCGTGACGAAGCCTCAGCAGGTTTCGTGTCAAGACACCAAGGCGGAGGTAGAGACCTCGCCTTGCAGTCACCTGACTACTCGGCAGGAGGGAGGTAGAAATCTGACACGTGAGAGCATGGGAGCACCACTCCAGAAACCAAGGTGTGACCTTTTGTAATCACAAAAGCTTCCAAAAATACTGATTTCATAGCCAGCAGCCACCTTGGATGAAGTGAGGGTGGATCTGAGGATTGGCATGTTTTCCGAGTGGATGCACAAATATATTATTGAGAGAAACCTCTTATTCAAGTGATTCAAGTGGCTACCCTTCCAGCTACTTAGAAGGTGACACTGCCAATTGCAATCAAATCCCATCAAGAAACACCGCCCCAGATTGAATTGACTTTCGGCTAAATCCATGTCCTTTCCACAAGTGAAGCAACGAACTCTCCCTGGGGACCTAAAGTAAAGTACCTTCAAAAGCAACAACAAACCAACAAAACACAGCATGATACAACAAGTAGGCTCCAAAGGTTTTCGGTTGCTCCGAGCCTTTTTTTGGGAGACGGGACACGTCGTTTTGAGCCACGTCGTCTCTCTCCGCCAGGCCACGGATGAGGCCATTCAGGTTCCAAGCCGAGCCTGGGTACGCTATGAGCTCACTCTGGGGGCATTCGGATGTAAAGCATTCGGATGTAACTATTTAAGAACATCAAATAAGTCAATAGATGTCATATTAGTATAGATCATAGATCTATAGTCTAGTGATGTACACAGTCTTTTGATGTCTTTTGGGCTATTGAGAGATCCGCCGATGAGATCCGAGTTGTTGTTGAGAGAATTTGTGGATCCTGGTTCAGTTCTGAAGCTATCATGGTCAACATAAGTTCTTCTACAAGAATTGGGATAGGAAGACGACTCCTCAATGGATTGAAGTCGCCAGCTTAATGTGATTGAATATATTAGCATAGACCACAGACCACTAGTCCACGAACTCAGTTCCTCCCAACCTTTGCATTCCGTGGGTTTGGGGTTCAGTCTTTGAGTCATTCCGGAGCGTCAGTCAAACCACTTTTCGTCACTCTTTCGTTGCACAAAGTCTGTCAATGGGTCATTTCAAAACATGCCCAAGTTAAGACATTCCAATTTGTGGACTTGAATTTGTGACTATTTTCGGCGGAACATGCGCGCACTTTTTGTGGGGCGGTTTGGATCGCTTTTCTCTTGACAAAACTGAGCCCATTTCGATGATTTGTTCACTTCTCATCTGCAGTAGGCAACACCATGTCGTTCTGGCTGTCATTAATTGAGTTGGATTCAAACATGCCCACGGAACAACACTTGATGGACCAGCTCTCTTAGAATGGATTCCATTAATAGTTTCTGCACGTTTGATCCAAATGGCACGAATTGCAATATCTGCGGCTCTTTGCGAGGATTTGTCCCAGAAACTAAACCCAAAAGTACAGTCGACTTCTCAACTTTGCTAGGTATAGGTTGACCCATTCCACCAATTTGGTGTCCCCAATGCTCTCTCCCCAAAACTTTTGCAGGGTATCCTCTTTCGGTGCAGACAAACTAGCTGCAGTCCCAACCTTCGATCTCGCTCGAATAGCTGCGGTCGCCGTGTCCAATTCCAGGCGCTTTCGAAGGCCGCCGGGGAAGTGGACCGCTCGGTGCAGGTGGCAACCAAGTTCCAGGCTTCGTTGAAAGGCCTCGGACTCTTGGATCCATGTTCTTGGACGAGTCGGAGACGAGGCCCAGGGAAGCGGATCACGCAGCGCGGGTTCGGTCACGAATGGTTCGAGCGGAAGAGACATGAATTAGACCGAGACCATTTCTATCAATTGGTTGGACTTGAACGACCCTAAGTCTTTAAGAGCAGTGGACTGCCGTCCTCGATCAAGTAGGATGATCTATTGGTTGTCACCATTGCTTCTATATACCTCGCCCAGAAGATCGCCCTGGACCCGCCACGCCCGAGCGAAGCCGCGAAGCCGAAAAAGAATGTCTCTTCGCAGTCAAGGTGCTTCGCAGGTTTGAACCACCTTGCATGCGAAGAAGGTAGTCAGTCAGGACAACATACAAACACACTCAAAATCAAAAAGGTAATTATTAATCAAGAAAAATGGTCCAAGAAACTCCAGAAATGTTCAGAATAAAGGACTTGTCTCCACATGGGAGGCATTGTTTTTGTGTCCAAACGATTCCATATACCGGCGGCCGGCGTACATACGTTCGATCAACTGGTGGGTCTGTGTTGATTTCTCGTCTCCACACGTTGACAGCCTCGGTTTGCAGGCTCCAACGAACAACCCCTCACACGACCTGGACCTGGGACTGGCAGCCTACACTGACCTCAAAAAAGCTACCCTTTCATGTAGGCAAATCCGATCCAAACAAGCCAGTCCCAAACAGGTCGTGTCTGGAACTGCTTCATTGCGTCAGATCGCTGCGGCATGCGATCATTGAGGGGAGCCCGGCCCTCCAATGCTTAGCTTTGTACTCTGAAACTCATGAGAACAAGCGCTGGTTGGGAAAGCATAGATTTAAACACGATTCAATCACAAGGATTGGTTGCGAAATAATATGTATGGCATATCAAACACATCCAAACCAACATATGCAAAACAATGGGTGTTGGAAACACAGGGGGCAAAGGAATTTGGTCGCATCTCTTCCTGTGGATTCCAAAACGCGCCTCTGGCTTTCGATCGAAAAGCAAACGAGATGGCCAGGGAAGCTCCATGGCGCTTGGCACGCGTTGTTGGCGCGTTGGTGGCTTGCATCTGATCCGTGAACTGTTGAACCAGTAGCGGGTGCTGCCAGTAACATCAACATCGACCTCCAAAACTGGTGACGAACACTTCAATCCTCTGTTTGACCGGAGCAATCAGCAAAGGGGAAAAAAACAACAGTGAAGCAACTGGAACCAAGTGAACCAGTGGCTTCAAAGTAGATGGCACAATCAGCAAGTTTGATGGTTTATAAGGACCCCATCTGTCTAAGACATCCGCACTGTAGGAGGATTTTTCTACAGCAGAGTGACCCTGAAAAGGCACAAACACATGTGCTGCCTACAACGTATACGTCTAAGAAGGGAATCACTGGTTTACTGGGAGGATATTGGGAGATGGAAACGAACACCATTCTCACATCTCATCGAATTAGGTAATCCTTGATATTATGTCCCCAACCTTTCAACAATCCTTCCTTAGAACTTGGTAATACATTTGTTCAATTATGGAGATTGAGTTGTTCGAAAGGGAAGCGTGGAGGGGTAAGAAGGAACACCGTTGATTGTGGTCAGTCGACAATGAATCAACATGGGGGTTGGTAGCCACCAAACATATCTGCATTCCTGTTGGTGTGTCCAGTCTGGAAGAATGACGCCTCCAGGACCTGGTGACGCCTCCAGGACCTTGGAACTCCTAAGAAATCCACCAAACCGCCCCGAGTCCGGCACTCGACTGCTCCCTCCGCAGGATGGTGACCTTTCGGGCGGCCAAGTGGTCTGCAGATGCCGATCCAAGTTCTCCTCAGAGCTGTGTGGAGATCGGAATCAAAAGATCAAAGCCTGGCACCATGTCCCAGCACAAGAACATGTTATATGGAATACCATGGAATACCTATATGCCTATACATTGACCCCGAACATGAACACCATCCGTATACAGGGCAAATATGCCACGTCCGGCGGTCGTGTCCGGGTGCTTCGTGGCACGGTCTCCGCCTCTCTCCACACCGCGGTGCGCCGGCGGAGGCCAACCACCGGTCCGACGGAGGTGTTCGGATTGTTTGCATCCACATGAAGTGTGCAAACCAAACAATCTGAAGTAAAACAGTGTTTCGAAACAGTGCAAACAATTAGTTGGTACAAACGAGTGTTCAACAAACATGTGCAAACCATCAACAGTTAGTTGCTACAACACGGTTTTGATTCGGTCACCTACAAGAAATCTGGGCTGGTCTCAATGAAGAGACACTGCGACACCCCCGGGAAAAAACCTGTCTGGGTAGAAAGAAACATCCCATGAACCAGCAACCCAGTGCTTCAGGCCAGATGCAATCATATATATATATACTCGGGAACCCGTCTGCAAAGGTCTTCACGACGCTTCACTCTCCAAATAGGAAGGCTTCTCAAACAACCATGATGTGGCCCTGGTCTTCGATGGACCCGCTCCACGACTCCCCAAGCGGCACCTACCCTATCCTCGTTTCTGCCAAGCTGCGGCCAGGCAGGTATCAAACCATAAGCGGTCCTAGCAAGAAGACATAACGAAAGAAAACAACACTGGGCATCACGGTCCAACTGAGTGGGTGCTGGGCGGAGCCTGGTGAGAAGCCGTTTTCTACTGGGACGTAAGAATTCACCACCAAACATATGGTCTTTTCATGTCTTTTTCTACCAACACAAAGGTCAAATGGGTTCTATAGGTGGAATTGGGGTCTGCGTTGTACCCAGATTCGGGTCTACCCGGTATAGGTTTCGTTATTCAAACAAAAGGAATCATACAAATTGCAACATTAAAAACCACTTATTTTACACGCCACACTTTCGACCGCAAGGAACTGTTGAACTGGACAGAACATGCAGCCCCTAGAGACTATAACTGTCCAATCCCCCTCAGGTACCTGTGAATTTGGCGACAAATCATGTGGGTCCGCATTTGGGGTCGTTTGAGAACGCTTGTACCAGAGTGTCCCGGGAATGCCCTAACATCAGTGGCGTTCCATTCACATGTAACACGGTTGTCCAAAAATGAGTCTAAGATCCGCAAACTGTTTTTTCACCACCCCGATAGAAAACATGTGTTTTGATATCCCAATCCGGGCATAGAATCAAAGCCACCAAATTAAATATATCACCAGAAACACATGTAAGGTCCGTCACACCAGCGGTTTCCTCCAGGATCGCCATCTTTCGGGTACTACAGGAACCTTAAATGATCTGTCGGAAAAAAAAACGGAAGAAACACACCTTCCCAGACACTCCATGTATGGAATATTTGCATACATTTCGGTGGTTTCATTGGTGAATGTAGGATAATGTAGATAAATATGGCAGTCCCATGGAGCCTTTGGGATAGAAAATGCTCAACCTGGTCCCATGGAGCAAAGCACTTCGCCAATCTTCTACATCTTTCGCGTCCACGATATCGCCGAGAGACCAGTGAACCGCGCTGTACAGCCGGGTGAATGGGGAAAGCTCCAAAAGATGGGCCATGGAAGAACTATGCCATCTGAGACAGCTTGGTTTAAGACTTGAATTGCTTCCCCCCCGGAAGTTCATCAAGTTCTCTCAATGATGGCCTCACTTGCAGGGCCACAAAAATGTTGGACATGCCATGGGCCTCGTCCGAAGCAACTCTCATGGGCTGAGATTGTATGGCTCCAGATCCGGAGATCTCTAGAGTGGCTTGGCGTGTGCAACATGTGTATGGCAAGATGCCAAGGTCAGGCTGCAAAGAATCTTACAGGTCTATGTGGCGTTGGGTCAAAACCTGGATACCTTGGTTGACCACCCAAAGACTACTAGGGAGGTCAACCTACCAAGGATTGGGGCTTTGGTTCGGTTCTCACCTCCGCTGTCATTTTGTTTACGTTTGGGAGCCAGAACAACCCTAAATTTCTTCACCCAAAAGGTGATATCTGTGGCATGCACTGTCAACATGCGCTCAAGACATCTCAAGACTGTATGAGAAGCACCTGAACCGTGCTTGTGTGGTCTCTTGTCACTCTCTCCAAGACACGTTCAAACAGCATGGACGTGTGGTTCTATGAAACGTGCGGCGATTCATTGCCTATTTATACATTCTCAGCTGGTGAAAGCTGCACACCTGCAGCAGCAGGAGATGTCGCAGGTAGCTGCGGTGGCTCAGTCAGCGTGTGTGCGGGTAAAGGAGCCGTTTCGCGTGCCGGAACCCACGGCACGTGCCGCGCGTTCCGGAGATCCTCCGGGGAAGCGGGCATGCATCCTACCCAGTCCACCGGAGCAATATGACAAAGGTTCCCTGCCGACATCTCACCAAGAGCCATTGGGCGATCCTGGGGCAAGCGCGACTCATCAAAGCGAAAGACCGCACGATGGTAGAAGCAACGATGACGTGTCGTCCCTTGGAAGCTACCACGTCTGTAGTGGCCTTCCCAAAGCAACGCCACCGATGCACCCCTCTTCAGTACCACATGACCTCCTGGTCCAGGAATGATCAACTCCTCGCTGCGCAAGTCGTAAACCCCGGCATGATGCCGCCGGTATTTGCGCCAGTATCTGCGAAGCTTCTTCACTCCAAAGCAAATAAGGAAGGCACATGCAATAATGAACCCAATGCAACCTATAGGTTGGTGTCCAACTCCGCCACGAAAATGAAAAGAAAACGAATCGCTTCCACCATCTTCTTCGCCGCCATCGTCACCGCCATCCTCACCACTGTGGCGAGCCACAGCTTTTACGCAACACAGCAAGACAGCAATGGCCACTGACTTTGCTACTTCCATGGAGCGTGGCAAATAGCGGGTGCAACGATGCGGGTGGCCCTTGGCTTGGATGTACCGAAAAGCCGGATTTGGACAGGATCAAATGCATGCTAGTGACTTGATCTAACTCAAAATGAGTACACTTTGCACGTAATTGTTAGTTTTATCGCCTAATTTCTCTGAGTAAGCCACACACCTAGGGGTCGTTTCTTGCCTCCCGTCACTCTCATTTTCAGTGGAGAGTTTCTTTATGTATATATATTATATACATATATACACACACGACACACATGGTGTTGTCCTTTACTTCAAAAGTGGCAAGTCCAAGAAGTTCGCTTCATCAACATATATTCACAGAACAGAACTGGTAAGTCATACGGAATAGCTTCATCAGCAAGTCGGCGACGCTAGCGGAAGCTGGCGCCGGTGACGACCCAACGCATGAAGACCAGGTGACGCACGCGGTCTAGGTGGGTCTAGGCGGAAGGCTTTCTTGGACAATTGGATGCGTTCAAACAGTTCAACTGGGGGCTGGGAAAGGAGTGGGGTTAGATGTTAGCAAATACCTGTAGATACCTCAGGCCTTGTTGAGCACATTCCAAGAGAACCCAAGAGAATCTCCCATGCTTGAAGGCTGACCTTTGAATAGCTTGGAGCCTTCTTTGGAAGGCTCCATGAATCCCACACCCCAATCCCAGACCAGCCTGTAAACAGCCCCCCCCCATCGCATGTTCACGAGCGTCCTCCTTGTTGACCAAGCGATCTCGGAATTGTCGACATGTCTCATGGACCCAAAGCCTCGCAGGTCAGACGAACCGAGCGAAGAACCATACAGAGTGGCGCCGACGAACCCGCAGAACAGAAACATTACGCCGTACGCCGTACGTGGCGGGAGACACGTGTTTGGGGTTGTTGTAGGGAAGCTCATCAGTACAGAAGAGTGAGCCAACTAGCTCCTCTATCCTCTATCCAACGAACATAACATGGCTCCTTTGGAAAACGATTTGCCTCCACAAAGAAGCGGGGTGACCACTTGCGCCACTTGATGTGTTTTCCATATATATATATAATATTTATATATATATATTAATATTAGTTGGAGGGATGATATCCATCCGAAAATCAGGAGAGGACCATTTGGGGATATGCAATTGGCTCTCAAACATAGCATTTCTGCGACTGTTGATGGCTGGTGATCTGCCAACGGTCTTCCGGGGTGGGTCCAGGGTCACCAGGATGTACTTTGATGTACATGTCCACTCACATGATAAGTGAATGCCATATGATGTGATGATGATCCATTTGGAAGACAGTCTTCCTTATGACTCCAACAAGGAGGTGTCT